TTTGTTTTGGTTCCACTTGTCTCTCGCATTTCCGGGGGTTTGATATGGGAGTAGGAGGGAAGCGATTCGGTGTAGACCTGTCCCTTTGATATTTGCTTCTCTGTATGGGAGGAGCTCAATTAGGGATTCATTGTTGGGGTGGGTTGCCTCGGTGCAGAGTATTCTGGTTCCGTACTTTCTTGAGCGATATGTTAGGAGGTATTCTAGGGGGGGTAGTCCTGCTTCTCGGAGGAGTTTAGCTCTCTTGGTCCATCGAGGTAGGCCCGTGATAATCCGGGCAGCTTCGTTGTATAGTGGTTCTAGTGATCTAATAATGTGGTCTGCGCCAGTCCACCAGGCCTCAGATCCGTAGAGCAGGCTTGGAAGGAAGCCCTGTGTTATTAGATGATGAACTGTCTTAACTGTTGTCCCTGGCAGGCGGGCGGTGTTTCGGATTTGGTGGAGGGCTTTTAGGCCTTTTGCGATTGCTGCTTCGATATGGGGCCGGAAGGAGAGGGTTGGATCTATCCAGACTCCTACATATTTCAGCCTCTCCTTGGGGTATATATCGGTGTTGTTAACTTTGACTGGAAGTCGTGGTTGTTGTGTGGATGATGTGGTGGGCCGGAAGAAGATCAGATCGGATTTATCCGGGTCGTACTTGATTTGGAGTGGCTCAGCTTTAATTAGTCTTTCTCTCATTCGTTCCTCCATTCTCTTAATTGTAAAGCCTGGTGTTTTGGATATTTGCACCAGCGCATCGTCATCGATGTAAGTTGTGTCCATCTCTTTTGGGCTGCTAGTTGGGTCCAGAATTACTCCGGCATAGATCATGAATAGTACCGGAGACATGGGGCTACCTTGCGGTACTCCAGAATCATAGGGCTGTGGTTCCTCTAGCTCGTGGTTGAATTGGAACTGTAGTTTTCTGCCGGTGTTGAATTCCTTGCACCATTCTGTCAGATAGATGGGGAATTTTTGTTGGTGCATGATTTCCGCGAGGAGTAGGTGGTCGACACAATTAAATGCTCCTTGGATGTCGTTGGTTAGGATCGCTGGTCTATCTCGCCGGGCGATTCCGGTGCTATTTTTTAGTAGTAGGTTTTGTTGTATTGGTGTCAAGGTTCTCAGGAGGGCATCGATTGCCGAGATGGTTGGTCTTCCTCCGAATTGGTTTGCTGAGAGTGTGCCTAGGATTTCTCCAGCGGTGCAGAGTCTCTGGGCCACTATCTTCTCCAGGATTTTGCTGAAACATTGTAGAAGGGAAATGGGCCGGTAGGCTTTTGCTTCATGATAATTTGCTTTACCGGGTTTCGGGATCGGGATACACTTAGCTATTTTCCATTCCGCTGGATGTACACCGTGCCGGAGCATAGCGGAGAACATGTCTTGGATTAGAGTTGTGTTTGCTTTGACTATAGCTTTAATGAAGGTATAAGGGATGCCATCCGGGCCGGTCGCCGAGTGCGCTGGGCAGGAGTCGATTGCTTTGTTAAGTTCTTCGGGGGTGACTATGTCGAAGGTGTCGCTAAGGTCAAAAGAGGGGGGTCTAATGTTCAAGGGGGGATGGTCGGGGGGCGTCCGTTTCGAGGGGAAAAGTTGGGCTCTTAGAGCTTGACACTTCCCCGCAAACGTTTCTTCACCTTGTATAGTTGGTATGATTGTGTCTCGTCTCTTTCCTACGCTTAGGATTCTCCAGACTTCACTACCTTTCGCCTCATTCATCGTCTTTTCCCGCTGGTCCGCTTTAGCTTTCCGGATCATGACTGTCCACTCTCTGCAAGCCTTCCGGTGTTCCTCCACGTGATTGGGTTTCCTTGTATTTCTCGCCTTCCTTTCTGCTGCGTTTACCCTTGCCTTCATCTGTTTCATCTCATCTGACCACCAGGAGTTGGCTCTTACCCCCTCCTTCGAGAGTGGTGTTACTATGCTGACTGTTGACCTGACCAGTTCTAGGAAGAAATCGACAGTTTGTTCCGTGTGTTCCTTGGTTTCCCATGCCTCTGCAGGGATGGAGATGTTTAACATATGGTTCTCCAATAGCTTCCAGTCTGTTTGTCGCCACATTCGTCTTGGCACGAAAGGTGGTTTTTCCAGGTGTAAGTGGACGGAGGTTCTCCCGTGGTCTGAGCCCGCTCCGTAGGGTTCAGTACTCCATCGTAGGTTGTGGTCGAGTATTGGGCCTTTTACAAATGCCAGGTCGATGGTTGTGGGCCTTTTCCCTCTGTCTCTGGGGAAGTGCGTAAAGACGCCTGGTTCGTTCAGGAGGGTCAGTTTCTGTCGGGTTATCCATCGTTTTAGCCGTGCGCCATTGACGCGGTCTGCTCGAATGTTGTTTCTGTATTCATGTGAATTTACTCCGTACCACATTTGATGGTGGCAGTTGAAGTCTCCCATTACTAGACAGTTATCAAGGGTTTGGATTGTACTTGCTATTTGAGCGAAGGGGCCGCTTCGGCCCGGGGAGTATATGTTTAGGATTTGGGTTTTTTTGGTTTGGATTTCTACCGTGATCGATACTATAAAATTATCGTGTGTGTAATGGTGTTTTGGTTTGAGATTGGCATGTTTGCGGACGTATGTTGCACATTTTGTATTGGTGTTGCTGGCCGTAAAAATATAAAAGAGATTTGATTCTGGTGGGTATCCCTCTGCTGAGGTCCATGGTTCTTGTAGTAATAGGAAATAAATGTTAGAGTCTGTTTCCGCTTCTTCTACCGCCGCCTTGGTAATGAGTTCGCTCCGTGCACAATTGAGTTGGTGTGCGAGCGCGGTGGTTCGAGGCCTAAGCATTATTTGTCATGGGTTGGTCGTCTTCGGGAACGGGTGTGGCTCCGACTGGGGCAGTGGCTGGTACTTGAACTATCGGAAGCAACTCTTGAACGGGTGCGGCCGGTGGGTCTTGGGCGGGTGGGGCGTTTTCCTTTCCTTTATTGAGGAATCGGCGTTTGACTCTCTCGGGGCATGCTGGGTCGGAGGCCTTATGGATTCCTTTACAGTTCAGACATCTGATTGGGGTGTGGGTGCATCTGTATCCTCCCTGGCATTGATTGCATGGGTGGAAGCTGGTGAGGTGATCTCCGGCACAATGACCGCATCTCCCATTGTTTTTGCATTTCTCCTGGCGATGACCGTATTCGAGGCACTTTGCGCACTGGGTGTCTGGGAAGGTTGGGAGGAAGGCCTCAATGTGGCAGCTTCGGTTAAAGAGGGATAGGAACTTAACTCCTAATGTTTCCATTGTAACTTGTCCTGGGAGCGCAATAACCATTGATGAGTGGGTTTTCTCCATTCGTGTCTCTGCTCTGGAGATCCAGCGGGGAATCTGGGCAAGTTGGAAGTTCTCTCCATAGTTGCTTCTAATTTCGGATGCTACCAGTTGTCCTGCCTCGGCGCCTTCTCCGATCGTTGTGGGGATTCCGTGAATGAGGAACTTTGACCATTTGGAATTTGCCCGGATGATGGCGACTGGTACTTGTAGGGTGAGGAGAGCCTCCTCAATTTCTTTGGCGTATTCCATTGCCTTTGTTGCTGGGGTGACAAACTTAGTTTCCAGGATAAAATTATCCTTGGGTGTTCTCCTTGCTGAGATGAAGTGGCAGGATTCGTCCTGAATTCTTGCATTGACTAGGGTCCTGATTTCGGAGGGATTGACATCGGATGGGGCAGTGGTTTCAACAATGATTTCTCTGTTGATTTTGGTATATTCGGGCTTGAAGAGGGGGTCCGCTTTTGGCTTTGCGGACTTCTTTCTTCTCTCAACAACCTGGAAACTTCCTTGAGCAGGACCGGGTGCCGAGGCCACAGCGGCCCAGGTGCCTGCTTTCCATCCACGGGGTGGGGCTTGTTGGGGGGGTGCGGGTGGAGGGGCCTGAGGGGCTGCCTGAGGCGCTGCTTGGGGAATTGTTTGAGGGACCGCTGGAGGGGGTATTCTCTGTCCCTGCGGTTGTTGTTTTCGCTGTTGTTGTTGTTGTTGCTGTTGTTGGTTTTGTTGTGGTTGTTGCGGTTGCTGCGATTGTGGTTGTTTGTTGAGGAGAAGGTGGATCGCCGAGTGCATACTGGTGATCATAGTTGTCTGCGCCTCGATTTGGTGCCTCAGTGTATCCACTGTTCTCCGGAGTGTGGTTGTTTGCTCTTCGAGGATTTCAATCCTGTCGGTGGGTGGGCAGATTCGGCTGGTGGCATGTCTGATGGCCCAGGTAATATAGTTCAGGTCCGTCTGGGTGTGAGTATCCTGGGGGACAATGCTCGGGTAGAGGTAGTCGACTCTCGGTTGGTAGGGGTCGTTGTAGTCGGATTCTGTTGCAAAGGTCGAGGAGAATTCCTGTTCTTGAGCTCCGGATGGGGTTGGGTCGGGAACCTGAGTGTTCCTGATCTGCGAGGGGGCTGTCCCTTGCTGGGAAGACTGGGTGAAAAAGGACTGGAGCGAAGCTTGCTGCGACATGATTGAATGTCCAGTTCTCCTGGCGGCGTAGAGTGACGTTTCAGAAAGGTTTCTTTTCCTTCCTTTCGGGAGGTCAAGGCTGGAGAATTCTTCGCTAGAAGCCAGTTTTCGTGGTGTTTCTTTCGCTAGTAACAACAAACGCGACCGTACGATCGGGGACGAAGTGGCTCAGCCTGGTATGGTATACCAGGGTAAACCGAGAGGAATAAAATAAAATGTTTTTGAAGCGAGGTTAATTGTCAGGAAGTTTTGCGAGCCTTAGCGAGCAAGGAGAATACAGAGGTTGCGTGAGGAAAGAAGAGAAGAAGGAAGACAGAGAAAAACACAAGACAACACTCCCTTATATATCCATCCATAATCCAACGATGACTAATACCTTCGCGTAACAGAAACCAAAAGAACATAATCGAAATTCCCATTACAAATCCTACTTCCACTGCACAATACCTCCTTCCCTCGTTCCAGTTTATCACCTAGCCAGAAATACCTAATTGCCGTTACAATCCTCAATTTCTCCGGGGTCTGTAAACCCATTACCGATTGTCTCAGGGGTGGTGCTAAGAACTTTGTCTGGTCTATGACGGCCCAAGCAGCCTTCGAAAAACTCAAAACCCTGTTTACGTCTGCGCCGATCTTGGTACACTTCTCTCCAGATCGCCAGACTATCGTGGAAACGGACGCAAGTGATTTTGGTATCGCCGCAATTCTATCCCAGGTTATTGACGGAAAGACTCACCCTGTTGCCTTTTATTCTCAAAAGCTTAACCCAGTGGAGCTTAACTACGACGTGTGGGATACGGAGATGCTAGGAATTGTGTCGGCCTTCAAGCAATGGCGTCACTACATCGAAGGACCTAGTCGAACGGTTCTCGTTTATACGGATCATAAGAACTTAGAGTACTTCTCTACAACCAAGGTTCTTAATCGACGACAGGCAAGGTGGGCTGAGTCTTTGGCGGAATTTGACTTCAAGATTATTTACTGCCCGGGAACCAAAAATAGGAAGGCAGATGCACTATCGCGACGGCCGGAGTACCGTCCTGAAGGGGGAGGCATGCTTGGGAAACAGCCAATAGACAGGTTCTTTAAGCCCGGACAGTTGGCGGAGGAAGAGTTTGTGGTATCAGCGGTGTCGCTTGCCTCCAAGGGGGTGATTGACTGGTCTAAGAACTTTCTGGATCATGTCAGGCAGGCGGCATCGGGAGACCCGACATGGGTAGGATTGAAAGAGAGAGTTGAGCAGGGAGAGAAGCTGGGGGAAATAAACGATATCGCTGAGAAAGACGGGCTACTCTTCTATAAGAACCGACTCTATATTCCGGCAGACGACCGCATTAAGATCCGAATCGCACAGGCAGAACACGATTCGAAGGTGGCAGAACACTTTGGACAAGATAAAACTTTGGAACTCATCACACGCAACTTCTATTGGCAAAAAATGAACGAGTGGATTGATGATTACGTTCGGTCATGTGACGAGTGCCAGCGCAACAAACCCAGCCGCCATAAGAAATACGGCGCGCTTCTACCACTGTCCACGCCTCATTCTGTCTGGCAATCGATATCAATGGACTTCGTCGTGCAGTTACCGGAATCAAAGGGCTACAACCAAATTTGGGTAGTAGTCGATAGGTTCTCAAAGATGTCGCATTTTATCTGTTACGGGCATGCCAAGCATTTACGGAGTGAGAGAAAGGCTAGTAGATACCCCTATACCCTTTAATACTAATGGCAACACCACTATCAACTCTGGTTTGCACCTACGAGGTACGGTGCGATTAATATACGACCAAATGCGGAGTTGCGGTTTTCCTAGTTAAAAAACACGTTTTCGACCCCAATAATAACCCCCGGAACGTCAAACCGCCGGAGGGGAGTGTTTTGGTACCGGTGGATATATGAGGGACAGCTGGAATCAATCGGATCGAAGATCGGACCGCTCGGAGCGAATCGGCGCAAGCTGCCAGCCGACCGAGTACCTATCGGCGGTACCTGTGGGCATGAGAGGACTCTGCTATGTGGGAAAGCGATGTGGGAAGAGGCCTGAGTAGGTAGCCTTGCCGTCCGAGACTTCCGAATAGCCGACGCTGACGATTATCCACCAGACGGCCGATGGAGAAGAAACATCGACAGGGAAACGTGCATTAGAGTGGATAAATAGGTTGAGGGGTTTTAGCGGATTTAGGAGTTTGGGTTACGGACTTAGGAGTTAAATGTTCTTGGTTGTTTTTCAGGGTCTCGGGCAGGCCCCGAGTGTATACTGTATTATTAGAAGACTGGGTCCTCGAGACATAAGCGAGGAGTATAAATACTGTGTCATTCACTGACTAGCCAAACCATCATCGGCGAAATCAGAGTCTTAACAATATAAATCGTTGATACGCGAGTTACAACTTTATTTGAATATACTTTTGGAATTACTTTACTCTATCGTGACTTCGAACTCTACCTGAACTGTTACGTCGAAGACGGTCGAACATCATACGCTAACTCTAGTGAATCTTTGTTGATAACGTAGCTCGCGGGGCCCGTATCGGATCAAGGAGAATCATACTCGACGTTGACTGAAGAGACCTTGGAGACTTCTACCTTTGTAGCTGTTAGCCGAACTCTGAGCTCTGCGTAGTGTACTCTTGTGGTCTGGTACGCATCCCTCACAGTATATTGTTACTCACAAGTTCACTTGGAGTAACGAAGTCACCTCAAAGAAAAGAACTATCATCGTTATCCCCTATCACAATGACTACACGAAGGGATAATTACTTCATAGATACCTCGGCCGTAACTGAGGAGGCCGGAGGAGAAGATTCTATGGTGATATCAAGGGCTGCTAGCCCAGACCCCCTACTTACGGGAGGACCCTCTACAACAACTAGGCAATCGAGTAAGCGCTCTGCTCAAGCCCAGTTCGTGAGGAATATGCAGGAGTTTTTGGATACCCATGAGGCACAAATGAGGTATCTTGGTGCAGCTGGACAGGCCATTTGGCAGCAGCTACAAAACCTCCAGGAGCAAGTCCAAGGGAGTGGACAAATCCTAGATAAGAAAGTACGGCAAGAAGCCATTGCCCAAAAACAACATCTCGAGTCGCTCTTTGAGCTCGTCACCCATGTCCAACAAATGCAAGAAACCGCACGAGCCGCCGACCACGAGGTTCTGGACCGTAACCATCGGATTACCCAGAACCAACTGTTGGAAGCGGAGCGACAGCTGAGGATGGTACGAGAAGAGCGGGAGCAGGAGAAAGGGGAACAACGGGCTATGTTTGCGCAATTTAAGCAGTCCGATGAGATAAGAAATCAACGGATAGCCGAGATGGAGGAACTACTGCGACAACACCTGTCAGTCGTGCCTTCCGTGGCTAGTGCTCCCTTAGACCCTAACGCGCCCCGAACGGTTCCTGTTGGCAATGGCAAGAAACCCGAAAATGCTGGTCCAGTAGGAGGAAATGCTGGTCCAGTAGGAGGAAATAGAGGCAGGCAACCACAGGATGCCGGCCCAGTGCATGGCAATAGTGGCAGAGGACCGGTGGAAGCTGCTCCAGTTGGTGGGAATGGTGGGAATCAACCTCCACAAAACCCACCAAGAGGAAACGTTGGGGGAGACCCAGAACCTTCCGACGACGATGACGACGATAACAGTGAATGGTCGCACGGTCGGAAGAATTGGAGAAGGAACCGAGGCGGGAACCGGAATTCGGCGCCGCCTGAAGACAACGATATGGTAGATTCGCTCGCCAAAATACCCTTTGAGTTTGATAATGCCAGGAAGCATAACCTGCGACATTGGCTCATGGAGTGCGAGATCTGCTTCGAGCAGAAGCCCAAGAAGTTCCGAACGGACAGGAACAAGGTACTGTTCGCTGGAACATACACGTGTGGGTTGGCAAAGGAATGGTTCATGGAATACATCGAGACCAAGATGCTAGGACCGGCAGCCGCGGACTACGCTACTTGGACTCGGTTCCGTCAGGAGATTAGGAAACGCTTCTTAAGCACTCAGGAGGCTATGGAGAACGCGATGAAAATGCAGCAGTTTAAGTACTCTGCTAACATCGGAGACTACCTGACGAGAATGGAGATCATGAACCAGCATGCTCAGATGAAAGGAGCATCCTATCGCGCCGCCCTGCTCCAAGGGCTACCAAATGAAATCCGGGAGCGCCACTCACGCTTCGATCCAACCGATGACGACTCCGAGTACATCCAACAGTTGGAACGAGCCGGCAAGGCTCACGAGGCTTATCAAGAGCAGATGAAGATGTTGGGGAAAGTGGAGTCGAGAGTAAGAGAGTCGAACAATGGTGGGAATTTGCGACAGAAGGACGAGGGGTTTAAAATCAAGGGGAGGGCTCAGACTGAGGAGAAAGAGAAAGGGCAAGATAAGAAGAGCACTAGCAAGAACAAGTCGGGGAATAAGCCAATATACCACGACTACGACGAAGCCACCAAAGGAGTTCCACAGCCGGTCCGAGAACAGCGAAAGACCGATGGAGCCTGTGTGCGATGTGGCCGAAAGGGTCATCTTTGGAAGTGGTGTCGTTCAGATGCTAACAGCAGTGCATCTATCTCCTCTTTCTCCCGAAAGCGTACCCGCGATGATGATGGCGACCACGATATGGAACCACCGGAACCCCAACCTCAGAGAAAACGAATGAGGCACCGTGCTAAGAAGCCGGCTGCGACGGCCGCTGTGGAGTACACCAGTGGGCAAGCGTTTGTGCGAGAACGCGGATCGGAATCTGAGATGGATTTCGACGAGGATTTTTAAAAGGGGACTCTGATGAGTCAGGTCAGGAGTATCCCCAGATTGCTATGTTATCACTGACGGAAAACAACAAAAAAAATATGAAAAGAAAAAGGCAGGAAGGGAGAGCGTCCCAACCGGAGAAAAAACAGAAAATTTTGGAGGAACCTATTCATGGTCCTCGACCCATCGTTAATCAGTTCCTTTGTTTTGCGGAAAAATGTTTACCTTGTAAGGTGTTGTTGGATACTGGTGCAACTGGTCCTGTTTTGTGTGCTGTTTTTGTTGATAGTTTTGAGGTCTCGAAGGTGAAACGAGACGTCCCGGCCCGGGTATTTGGATTTACGGGAGAAGTTATGAAGGACACGGGACATGCCTTTACACAACCATTAATTATAATGTCAAGGGGGCATCAAACACAGTTATCATTCGAGATCGCCCCTCTCCCACTTGGCATCGATGCAATATTACCAAACTGGTGGTTGAAAGAACACAAGCCGGTTATAGGGACAAATGGGGAAGTTTCCTACGATGGTGAGAACTGCAAGAGTCGATGCTTCACTGACAAGGAACCTCAAATAGAAATGGACGAGGGTGTACTGGACGATCCGGAGGCCCAATTCATCGGTAGTATCTGTCTCTTGGAAGATGAATCGGTTAACCTCCGTGAGACTCTTCCCTCTTGGCTCCATGGGTTCCTTAAAGTCTTCCTACCATCGGAAGCCGACAAATTACCACCGCATCGATCTTACGACCATGCGATAGATCTCAAATCAGGAAAGCAGCCACCATGGGGACCCGTTTATTCTTTATCCGAAGTCGAGCTGAAGGTGCTTCGGGAGTACCTAGACAAAATGTTGCGATTGGGAAAGATTAGGCCAAGCAAATCCCCGGCGGGAGCCCCAATCCTATTTGTGAAGAAGAAGGACGGTAGTCTGCGACTTTGCGTTGACTACCGTGGACTTAACCGTGTGTCCATCAAGAACAGGTATCTGTTACCGCTTATGGACGAGCTGCGAGATCGAGTGGCAGGCACGGTTATCTTCTCGAAGATTGACCTGAAGGAAGGTTATAACCTTATCAGGATCAAAGACGGCGACGAGTGGAAGACAGCCTTCCGTACGCGTTACGGGCATTTTGAGTACCTCGTCATGCCTTTTGGGCTGGCAAATGCGCCGGCGACCTTCCAGAACATGATGAATGATGCGCTGAGGGAATTTTTGGATCAGGGTGTAGTAGTATACCTTGATGATATCCTAATATATAGCAAGTCCCGAGAGGAACACAGGGAGCTGGTCGGCAAAGTACTTAGTAGGCTACAAGAATACAACCTAGTTGCCAACCCGAAGAAATCGTTCTTCGAGCTCACCGAAATCGAGTTCCTCGGATACATCCTTGCCCCAGCAGGCGTCACCATGGCACTGGATAAGGTTATGTCTGTTACGAATTGGCAAGCCCCGCGCAGCGTTAAGGAAGTACAAATCTTCATGGGCTTTGCCAACTTCTACAGAAGGTTTATCCACAATTTCTCCGGGGTCTGTAAACCCATTACCGATTGTCTCAGGGGTGATGCTAAGAACTTTGTCTGGTCTATGACGGCCCAAGCAGCCTTCGAAAAACTCAAAACCCTGTTTACGTCTGCGCCGATCTTGGTACACTTCTCTCCAGATCGCCAGACTATCGTGGAAACGGACGCAAGTGATTTTGCTATCGCTGCAATTCTATCCCAGGTTATTGACGGAAAGACTCACCCTGTTGCCTTTTATTCTCGAAAACTTAACCCAGCGGAACTCAACTACGACGTCTGGGATAAGGAGATGCTAGGAATTGTGTCGGCCTTCAAGCAATGGCGTCACTACATCGAAGGACCTAGCCGAACGGTTCTCGTTTATACGGATCACAAGAACTTAGAGTACTTCTCTACAACCAAGGTTCTTAATCGACGACAGGCAAGGTGGGCTGAGTCTTTGGCGGAAT